CTTAAAAAAACATTTTCAGTCCTCTGTCTACAAAACAGCTCCATTATGTCATTACTCTCTGCAGGAAAGGAAAAGATGCTTAGAGACTTAAAGAATTACTTCCCAGAAAGGTTAATGTCTAAAATCCACCTAAAAGTTTATATTTTATCCGAAGTAAATCTCCAACAAAAGCCTAATCTGAAAGTATTTCTTTTGTTTATAGCCATGTTTCCCTGAAAATAAGACCGGGTCTTAATCTTAATTTTGGCTCCCAAAGAACCATTAGGGCTGATTTTCCAGTTAGGGCTTATATTTGGGAAAATACGGTACTAAATGCGTCCCGTCTGGCTGATGATCTTAAGGGGGGGGGCTTATTTTCCAGGTGGGTCTTATTTTCGGGGAAACACGGTAAGTAGTCCTTGAATTACGAACCCAAAATTTCTGTTGTGAAGTGAAACCTTCGTTCCGTGAGTTTTTAACGACCTGTCTTGCCACGGTTGCTAAGTGAATCACTGCACTTGTTAAGTTAGTGACACGGTCGTTAAGTGTAATAATAATAATAATAATAATAATAATAATAATAATAATAATAATAATAATAATAATAATAATAATGATGATGGTGATGATGATAATAATAATAATAAACAGTTGGAAGGGACCTTGGAGGTCATCTAGTCCAACCCCTTGCTCAGGCAGAAAACCCTATACCATTTCAGACAAATGGCTGTTCAGTCTCTTCTTAAAAACCTCCGGTGTTGGCGCATTCACAGCTTCTGGAGGCAGCTAGAAGGGAGTGGGGTTTGTGGAGAGCAGGCAGAGGAGGAGGAGGAAGAGGAGGAGGAGGAGGAGGAGGAGGAGGAGGAGACCTGTGAGGTCCTTGGTGCTCTCTGAGCTTGGTTACTTTTTTGCAGACATTTCATGACCAAACTAGGTAACATCATCAGTACTAAAACACTTGGGTTTCTGGAGAGGAGGAGGAGGAGGAGGAGGAGGAGGAGGAGGAGGAGGAGGAAAAAGATTGTGGGGTCCTTGGTGCTCTCTGAGCTTGGTGGTTTTTTTGTAGATGTTTCATGACCCAACTAGGTAACATCATCAGTGCTCAGATGATGCACTGATGATGCTATTAGTTTGGTTGTGAAACATCTGCAAGAAGACCACCCAGCTCAGAGAGCACCAAGGACCCCACAATATCAGCATAAAATAAACAATACTCAGAAACCAGACCGGTAGTCCTGTACTTGCAACCATTTGTTTAGTGACTGTTCTAAGTTACAACAGCAATGAAAAAATTAATCAGCGCTGAAAAAAAATGACCCGGGGATGCAACAGCCCCGTGAAAAATGGTTATAAGTCAACTTTGAATGGTGACTAAATGAATAGTCGTAAGCTGAGGACTACCTGTCCTGCAACTCTTCCTAAACATGGAAGCTCAGCCATCACACCGTACAGACCCTGATGATGCCCAGAACGAGGACACCTGCTGCCCTTACAGACTTCTGACTTGACACGTGAACACAAGTACATAAGTTGTGAGGATGTGGTCACGCGTACGTCATCTTTTCCTGCCTGTCCTGCACGGTGGTTCACCTTTTCCAAACCAAGAACCAGTTTCTGCCCTGATGGGCACAACCACTCCATTCTTCAAAGCTTTCCCAACGGAAGGAGCCGGAAGAACTGCTTCGAAGCACCTCCTGTTAGGGGAGCTGAGTCATTCCCAAGTCTGGGAAAAGATCTCCAGCCATTAAGGAGCATTAAGTGCTTTAATTAAGCCCTGGATTACCTCTCAGTTGCCAGCTCATCGTTCCATTTCTGGCCATCAAAGCGTAGCAGCATTATTGCAACTGACAGCTCATGTCTATAGATTTAGGGGCAGTTTAAACAATATTATTTATTTCAAAATCCCTTTTCTTTTTACAGGCATAAGTTAACCAGATGATAAAGCAAGGATCTGTCTCTCTCTCTCTGTCTATCTATCATTTCTCTATTTCTATCTATCTATCTATCTATCTATCTATCTATCTATCTGTCTGTCTGTCTGTCTGTCTGTCTGTCTGTCTATCTATCTATCTATCATCTCTTTCTCTCTCTCTATCTCATCTCTCTATCATCTATCTATCTCATCTTTCTCATCTATCTATCTATCTATCTATCTATCTATCTATCTATCTATCATCTCTCTATCTATCTATCTCATCTCTCTATCATCTATCTATCTCATCTCTTTCTCATCTATATCTATCTATCTCATCTCTCTCTCTCTCTCTCTATCTTATATCTATCATCTCTGTCTCTATCGATCTATCTATCTCATCTCTCTCTCATCTATATATATCTATCATCTCTTTGTCTCTATCTATCTATCTATCTATCTATCTATCTATCTATCTATCTATCTATCTATCATCTCTCTATCTATCTATCTCATCTCTCTATCATCTATCTATCTCATCTCTTTCTCATCTATATCTATCTATCTCATCTCTCTCTCTCTCTCTCTCTATCTTATATCTATCATCTCTGTCTCTATCAATCTATCTATCTCATCTCTCTCTCATCTATATATATCTATCATCTCTTTGTCTCTATCTTTCTATCTATCTATCTATCTATCTATCTTAGCATTCATCTATCTCTTAGCATCTATCTATCTTAGAATTCATTATCTATCTATCTATCTATCTATCTATCTATCTATCTATCTATCTATCTATCTATCTATCTATCTATCTATCTATCTATCTCTCTGTATCATCTTTCAATCATCCATCCATTCTTCCATCCATATATTAATCACATCTGTCCATCCACTATCTACTCTCATCTCTGTCAGTCTATACATATATGTCTGTCTCTATCATCCATCCATCCATTATTTATCTACTCTCTCATCTGTATATCAGCCCTTTCATATTTGTCCGTAGGTCCATCCATCCATGTCTCATCTTCTAATTTTTTTTCCCTTCTAAAAGCTTCTTGTGAGATAACCGGGTTACTAACTTAACGACTCCGGCGATTCACTTAACAACAGTGGCAAGAAGGGTCGTAACAAGGGGGCAAAACTCACTTAACAACTGTCTCACTTAGCAACAGAAATTTTGGGCTCCGTTGTGGCCGTAAGTCGAGGACTACCTGTATTAGCCAAAGCATTTGTAATTCGCTCCAACAACGCGCGGCGGCCCCTTTAAGACACCCCGCCCTCTCTCCTCTCCCTCCCCTCTCCCTAAGAGACACGGTGAAACTCCCCCCCTCCGCGCGAGCTCCATACTTCCGGCTCTACCGCGAAACATCTTCTAGAGGGGGGGTCTTCAAACTTGGCCCTTTTACGACGTGGACTTCCTCAGCCAGGAATTCTGGGAGTTGAAGTCCACAAGTCCTAAAAGGGCCACGTTTGAAGACCCCCCGTTCTAGAGGGGGTGCGTGGCCGAGGCCGCCCAAAAGAAGCGGTCGCGAGCACCCTCCTACTTCCGGCTCTACCGCGAACATGCGTGGCCGAAGCCGCCCAAGGGAAGCGAGCGTCCCCGCGGCAGCCGGAAGTGAAAGCCGGGAGAGCGCGCCCCTCTCTCTCTCTCTCTCTCTCTCCCCTCCCTTCCCGCCTTCCCCTCCGCCCACTCTATGGTTCCTCCCCGTCGCGGCGGCTGACAAGATGGCGGCGTCGGGCCTAGGCTTCGGCCCAGGGTCGTCAGGGCTCCTCGGGAGCCGGGTCCTGGCCTACACCCTCCACCGCTGGAGCAGCTTCTCCTCCACCTACCTGCCAGAGTGAGTCGGCCGACGGGGGGCGCCCTCCTCCCCAAGGCAGCCCCCTCCTCCCCTCCCCTCCGCGGGGGTCTCGGACCACCGCCCCATCTTCCCCAGCCCGAGCGCGGAGGATGGGGCCTGGGGTCCACAGCGAGGAATGTGTGGGGGGGTCGAGTTTCTCTTCTGAGGGGCGGGAAGGATCCGGGGAGGGCGGGGGGAGATGCTACGAGACCCCTCCTTTGCTCCCCCCCCAACCCCGATTCCTGCTATCCCAGGCGGGGAGGGGGTCCCTCCTCTCTCTCCCCCCCCCCCAATAGCCCTTGCAAAGATGTGAATGAAGGCTGGGGAGGGGGGGGCTTCTGGGGTTGGGGGGTTGATGTGGAGCAGGGCAGAGGGAGTAACGATTCTGGGTTGACCAGGCGCCGTCCAGCCAGGCTGGATTCTTAGAGATCGAGTGGATTTTTTTGTCCGGGAGGATCTGTCTCCCAGCCTGGCAGCAGGCCTTGCAGTGGGGTCTTCGTTGGCATCGGAATAGGGGGATGGGGAGGGGGATGATGTTCTTCTTAAGAAGTGTGGCAAAAAAGTTATAACATTAGGTGTGATTGGACAACCACATTGTTGCTTAGGAGTGGACATTATGCTTCTTCTTCTTCTTCTTCTCTGACATTTCTTCTTCTTCTCTGACCTCCTCCTCCTCCTCCTCCTCCTTCTTCTTCTTGACCTTCCTCTTCCTCCTCTTCTTCTCTGACATTTCTTCTTCTCTGACCACCTTCTTCTTCTTCTTCTTCTTCTTCTACTTCTTCTTCTTCTTCTTCTTCTTCTTCTTCTTCTTCTTCTTCTTCTTCTTCTTCTTCTTCTTCTTCTTCTTCTTCTTCTTCTTCTTCTTCTTCTTCTTCTTCTTCTTCTTCTCCTTCTCCTTCTCCTTCTCCTTCTCCTTCTCCTTCTCCATCTTCTTCTCTGACATTTCTTCTTATCTGATATTTCTTCTTCTTCTCTGACCTTCCTTTTCTTCTTCTTCTTCTCCTCCTCCTCCTCCATTCCTCCTCCTCTTCCCTTCCCCCTCCTCTTCCTCCATTCTTCTTCTTCTTCTTCTTCTTCTTCTTCTTCTTCNACTTGGCCCTTTTACGACGTGGACTTCCTCAGCCAGGAATTCTGGGAGTTGAAGTCCACAAGTCCTAAAAGGGCCACGTTTGAAGACCCCCCGTTCTAGAGGGGGTGCGTGGCCGAGGCCGCCCAAAAGAAGCGGTCGCGAGCACCCTCCTACTTCCGGCTCTACCGCGAACATGCGTGGCCGAAGCCGCCCAAGGGAAACGAGCGTCCCCGCGGCAGCCGGAAGTGAAAGCCGGGAGAGCGCGCCCCTCTCTCTCTCTCTCTCCCCTCCCTTCCCGCCTTCCCCTCCGCCCACTCTATGGTTCCTCCCCGTCGCGGCGGCTGACAAGATGGCGGCGTCGGGCCTAGGCTTCGGCCCAGGGTCGTCAGGGCTCCTCGGGAGCCGGGTCCTGGCCTACACCCTCCACCGCTGGAGCAGCTTCTCCTCCACCTACCTGCCAGAGTGAGTCGGCCGACGGGGGGCGCCCTCCTCCCCAAGGCAGCCCCCTCCTCCCCTCCCCTCCGCGGGGGTCTCGGACCACCGCCCCATCTTCCCCAGCCCGAGCGCGGAGGATGGGGCCTGGGGTCCACAGCGGGGGATGTGGGTGTGTGTGGGGGTCGAGTTTCTCTTCTGAGGGGCGGAGAGGGCGGGGGGAGATGCTACGAGACCCCTCCTTTGCTCCCCCCCAACCCCGATTCCTGCTATCCCAGGCGGGGAGGGGGTCCCTGCTCTCTCCCCCCCCCCCCATAGCCCTTGCAAAGGTGTGAATGAAGGCTGGGGAGGGGGCGGGCTTCTGGGGTTGGGGGGTTGATGTGGAGCAGGGCAGAGGGAGTAACGATTCTGGGTTGACCAGGCGCCGTCCAGCCAGGCTGGATTCTTAGGGATCGAGTGGATTTTTTTGTCCGGGAGGATCTGTCTCCCAGCCTGGCAACAGGCCTTGCAGTGGGGTCTTCGTTAGCATCGGAATAGGGGGATGGGGATGATGTTCTTCTTAACAAGTGTGGCAAAAAAGTTATAACATTAGGTGTGATTGGACAGCCACATTGCTTCGGAATGGATCTTCTTCTTCTCCTCTGACATTTCTTCTTCTTCTTCTTCTTCTTCTTCTTCTTCTTCTTCTTCTTCTTCTTCTTCTTCTTCTTCTTCTTCTTCTTCTTCTTCTTCTTCTTCTTCTTCTTCTTCTTCTTCTTCTTCTTCTTCTTCTTCTTCTTCTTCTTCTTCTTCTTCTTCTTCTCCTTCTCCTTCTCCTTCTTCTTTGACATTTTTCTTCTTCTTCTCTGACCTTTCTCTTCCCCTCTTCCTCCTCCTTCCATCTACCCCAAAGATGCTTTTTCAGGAGGCAACTGGACTTCCTTGTTTTTCTTTGAAGACGTTTCCGCTTCTCATCCCAAACGCTTCTTCAGCTCTGACTACAATGGTGAGGAATGGAATCTAGTCAGAGCTGAAGAAGCTTCTGGGATGAGAAGTGAAACGCCTTCAAAGAAAAACAAGAAAGTCCAGTTGCCTCCTGAAAACGCACCTTTGGGACAGCCATGAACTGGAGGACTGAGAAGCTCCAGAGAGATCCAGTCCATCTACCTTTCCCAGCATTAGAGCCTTTTAGCAGAGTTAGGCATTGATTATACAGTATGGGGCATCCAATCATTGCTGGTTCCTAGAGGCCACCTAGATCAGAGGTCCCCAACTTTTGGGGCACCAGGGACCAGATTCCGTGGAGAGAGGTTTTTCCGCGTACTGGAGGGTGTGTGGATTTGTGTGCTGCCTGCATCCCATGGATGGGGCTTTGCTTGTTTGTGCGGACCGGTTGCTGGCATGCTGCAGCCCGGTACTGGTCCACGGACCGGGGGTTGGGGACCCCTGACCTAGATGGTTGTTCAGGTCTTTCTTTCTTTCTTTCTTTCTTTCTTTCTTTCTTTCTTTCTTTCTTTCTTTCTTTCTTTCTTTCTTTCTTTCTTTCTTTCTTTCTTTCTTATCTATCTATCTCTATCAATCTATCTATCTATCTATCTAACTATCTATCTAACTATCTACCTATCTATCTATCTATCTATCATCTGTCTATCTATCTACCTACCTACCTACCTACCTATCTGGAAGGGACCTTGGAGGTCTTCTAGTCCAGCGGCCCCCAACCTTTTCAGCACCAGGGACCGGTTCCGTGGAGAGAGGTTTTTCCACAGACCGGAGGATGTGTGGTTTCGCCTGCTGCCGGCATTCCATGGATGGAGCTTCATTTGTTTGCATGGACCGGTTTCTGGCGTGCTGTGGACCGGTCCCTGTCCACAGACCAGGGGTTGGAGACCCCTATTCTAGTCCAGCCCCCTGCTCAAGCAGGAGATCCTGTACAATTTTAGACAAGGGGCTGCCCAGTCTCTTTTTAAAAACCTCCAGTGATGAAGCACCCACAACTTCTGGTGGCAAGCTGTTCCACTGGTTAATTGTCCTCACTGTCAGGAAGTTTCTCCTTAGTTCCAGGTTGCTTCTCTCTTTGGTCAGTTTCCAACCATTGTTTCTTGTCCTGCCCTCGGGTGCTTTGGAGAATAGCTTGACTCCCTCTTTTTTGTGGCTCTTCTTTGTTCTTCTGAGATGTCATCCATTGCCATTGTAACTGGGTCCGTCCACCTTCCTGCTGGTCACCCTTTCCTTCTCTTTCCTTCCTCCTTTCCCAACGTTACAGTTAGTCCTTGACTTACAACCGTTCATTTAGTGACCGTTCAAAGTTACACTGCCTCATCTTTGCCTTGTCAGCATCCGTTCAGTTTAAACTGCTGCGAACCTAATTTTTTTATTATTAATTTCTTTATTTTTTATTTGTTTGTTTGTAAAGAAGTTGCTTTATACTTTTCCGATGCACCCGGTAATGTGTAAAACTTGAGGATGTTTAATTTTGCTTTTACAAAATGCTGTGAGGGAAACCAGGTTTCTAATCATGGTGCCCCCAGTAGCAGATAAGGGGAGGGGGGGAGTCCTTTCATGATTAGACATGTAATGTTTATGTAGATAATTCCTCCTCTGTAAATGGTTTCCTAGAACGTTCTAAACCATTTCCAGCTCCGGGTTTTTTTTATTTTTTATTTATATCCCACCTTTATAATTTTTACAAGTAACTCACCATATCCAGCACATTTTTCTCCTCTGATTTTTCCCATAACAACAGCCCTGTGAGGTCGGTTGGAGCCTGTCTAAGACGGGAGGGGGAAGCTTTTGTGCAATCTTCTTTTTCCTGACTTCTCTCTTTGAAGAACGAAAAGTTTGGAAATACGGACGTTATGACTTCTAAATGTATTATTATAAGGCATTCAGAGTCTTTTTGGGAGTTGGGTGGTCTCCAAGACCACCACCACCACTACCGCCATCATCGTCAAGTTTACACATCGAAGAGACAGTTGTGTTAGAGGTGAAAATTGAGGCTCAGGAAATGAAGGAAAACATAAAAATAGTGAGGGATGTTCATCACAGAGTTATAACACTGAACGCTAAACTCAGGAATAGAACAGAATAGAATAGGGAATGGAATGGAAATTAAAATAGAGTAGAGTAGAATAGAACTAAAATAGAATTGAACAGAATATATGAAAGAATAGAATAGAACAGAATAGAATATATGGAAGAATAGAATAGGAATAGAATAGAATAGAATAGAATATAGAGTAGAATAGAATAGAATAGAATATGGAATGAATAGAATAGAATATATGAAAGAATAGAATAGGAGAGTAGAATAGAATATAGAGTAGAATAGAATAGAATAGAATATGGAATGAATAGAATAGAATATATGAAAGAATAGAATAGGAGAGTAGAATAGAATATAGAGTATAATAGAATAGAACAGAATAGAATATATGAAAGAATAGAATAGGAGTAGAATAGAATATAGAGTAGAATCGAATAGAATATAGAGTAGAGTAGAATAGAATAGAATAGAATATGGAATGAATAGAATATAATATATGAAAGAATAGAATAGGAGAGTAGAATAGAATATAGAGTATAATAGAATAGAACAGAATAGAATATATGAAAGAATAGAATAGGAGTACAATAGAATATAGAGTAGAATCGAATAGAATATAGAGTAGAGTAGAATAGAATAGAATAGAAAATGAATAGAACAGAATAGAGTATGGAATGAATAGAACAGAATAGAATATGGAATGAATAGAATAGAATAGGGAGTGTTCTGCAGAGTACAGTACAGTAGAATAGAATAGAATCAGAACAGAACAAAACAATAGAATCAGAACAGAGTGGAGCAGAATAAAATGAAACAGAATAAAATGGTACAGAACAGGACAGAACAGAAGAACAGAATAGAATAGAACAGTGGTTCTCAACCTTTTTAATGCCGCGACCCCAACCGGTCGTAAGTCGAGGACTAAACCGGTTGTAAGTCGAGGACTAAACCGGTCGTAAGTCGAGGACTAAACCGGTCGTAAGCCGAGGACTACCCAACCGGTCGTAAGTCGAGGACTTTCCCTGCCCGGGAGCGCCACACGTGTGGTTCCGCCCCCTGCGCCGGCCGAGGCGTAGCTGGCAAGCGGCAGAGACGGAGCAGGCCGACCACCAGCTGGCCCAGCCCAAGGGACCCGCCGGAAAAGGGGGAAAAAAATGGCGGACAAAAAAAATGGCGGACAAAAAAAATGGCGGACAGCCTTGCTTGGCGACCCCCATGAAATGGTCGATCGACCCCAAATGGGGTCCCGACCCACAGGTTGAGAACCACTGGAATAGAATGCTTTATTTGGCCAAATGTGACTAGCCACATAAGGATTTTGTCTTGAGTTTTGAGCCAAAAATTATTTATTTATTTATTTATTTACTTACTTACTTACTTACTTACTTACTTACTTACTTACTTACTTACTTACATACACACACCTCCCAGAGGGGCTCTGGGCAATGTAGAATATAATCAGTAAAATTAACCTTAAAATCAGAATTGATTTAAGATTAGAAAGATTTAAAATTGCAGAGGTGACGGGATAAGTAGGGAGGTCTTAAATGCCGGGAGACGGAGGACCCGCAGCAATGTTGAAGGTGGGCTGTTCTTATTTAAACTGGAGAGATCTGGCAAGGTTTAGGCAGTGCCCAATTCAGAAGACAGAAGTCGGAAACTTCAACCTCCATTTCAAACGAGAGCAGCATTCCTACCAAGAAACCTGACTTTTTGACTGTCCTACCTGCTTGAGCACTTGGGAAAGTGAGTCACTGAAGAGCTGGGCCTGGTTGACATAAATTACCGTGATGGATAGATTCATTAAGTGGAAAACAACTGAATCACATTATGGCAGGGAAATATTAAAGGTGCGCAAGTCATGAGGTGATTGAGCGCGTGAGTTGAAGCATCTAAATTAGTTTCCCGCAGAAATATTTCTGCATCTATTCTCAGCCTGGGTTAAATAGGAAAGGACTTCAAGCAAGTGCACGTAGCTCCTCGACTTACAACAGTTCATTTAGTG